GCCTGGTTAACCCAGGCTCTTTCTAGACCGGTCATCTAGTGGTCTTGAATAAAAAGAAGAGATTAACTATGCATGGGCTGTAAAAGATGAGAGAGAGAAAAAAAAAAAAGACTGTGGCTGGACAGGGTGCCGTGGTCAGGTGTTGAGTTTTCCGACCCAGGGCTGTGGGGGTGGCGGGATGGCAGAGCAGGAAAGACGGTGCTGGAGAAAGAGCAGTGAAGCTCTTAGACTCTGTGGGCCTCTTTTAAGAAGGCGCTTGGTCCCCAAGGCCAAGACAGCTGGGCCTCTCCTGGTGCTGTCAGCCACTCAGTCCAGTAGGGAGGAGATGATGCAGGGCGCTGGCAGAGCAGGCAGTGTGCTAAGGGCACCAGTTCCCCAGCAGATACTCAGAAGCTAGAGCTGCTTTCTAAAGTGGTGAAGTAGAAGGGGTTTAGGGTTGAGGGCCTACAAGCCAATGGAAAATACACAAGGAAATCAGCTAGTGGCTGGGACGTTTCTTAGAGCCTGTCCCAGCAGCACTGCCCTGGCCACAGCACAGGTGTGCCGCGCCCTGTGATCCCTTGTCCATCACTCCTGATGGACAGTCTGCTTTTGTGCAGGCAGTTTCCTTGGGGCATCAGAGCATGGAAGCAAGGAGGAGCCAGTGTGAGTCTGAGAGATGCAGACAAGCAAGCTGTGGAGCAGGGGCTGCAAATAGAAGGCCTTGCCCTGGACCAAGCTAGAGGCTGCAGCGAGGACAGGCCCCTGATCAGTTCCCTAAGGGCCAGGAATGTAAGCCAGATCTGGGCCATGGCCCAATGACCCGGGAGGTGGCTCACAATCACAGATGCAAGGTGCAGAAGCCTCCCTGGGGGCTGGGGTTTGCCGAGTTGTCTGCACCCTGGGCACCCTCTCTGTGAGAACCCTGTGAAAGGCGTGGTTTTCCAGTAACCCTGACCGGCTCAGACTCTCCTCCTGGGGCTGGATATTCCCCAGGAGAGGAGCTTCTGACGCAGAGCCTTCCTGGGAAGAGGGCAGGCACCCTGTCCCTACAGGGACACAGGCTGTGCCGAGTAGAGCTAGGGCCAGGTTCTGAGCTCCCTAATGCTGAGGGCCTGCCAGGAACTCCTTGCCTACACCTCTGTCTTACTGGCCAGCTCCTGCTGAAGCAGGTCATGCATGGCAAGTTGACAACTAAATAAAGCCGCTGTTCAGAAATGGTCATTAGCCAAGGTGAAGGGCACGCCTGCTGCTGCCAGACGCCAGGCGGCTACAGGCGCGCCCTCCGTCTTCCTCCCACACCCTGGGCAGCACAGAGTCCCATTCATCCAGGCAGGGCAGGTCCCGGCCCCATGAATGTCACGCTCAGTGCCCTCGGCCACAGAAGGAACAACAGTGAGCAGTCAGGGCCTCGGCCTCTCGCCTGGCAGTCCTGGGATTAATTGCAGAAGCCCAGCCTGTCCTGAAAGGGCCTCCTGGGGACAGGGCTCTGGGGGCACAGCCAGCCCCTGGCCTGAGGTCCAACCAGCCTGTGTCCTAGTGGCTTTTTTTTTTTTTTTTAAAGATTTATTTATTTTTATTGCAAAGTCAGATATATATAAAGAGAGAGGGAGAGATAGAGAGATCTTCCATCCAATGATTCACTCCACAAGTGACTGCAACGGCTGCAGCTATGCCGATCTGAAGCCAGGAGCTCTTCCGGGTCTCCCATGTGGGTGCAGGGTTCCAAGGTTTTGGGCCGTCCTTTACTAATTTCCCAGATCACAAGCAGGGAGCTGGATGGGAAGTAGGGCTGCCGGGATTAGAACTGGTGTCCATATGGGATCCTGGTGCATTCAAGGTGAGGACTTTAGCTGCTAGGCCACCAGGTCAGGTCCATCTTTTTTTGTTTTAAAGCTTTGTCAACCTAGTCTTTGCGGGATAACAGGGCCATCATGTATCTGAAGGACCAGCCACTGACCCGGATGGCCAGCTCTGGGCCCAAGGGACACATGCCCAGAACGCCGTGGTCAGCATTAATGTGAGGACCCTCAGAAATTCTGTTGCCCAGCAGACACTCCTGATGAATTGAAGTGGGAAGCAGCAGGGGATCACCTCTAGGCAGCACCTCTGGCTCATGCCTCTTCAGTTGCAATCATTTGTCCCTCTGATGTCTCAGGACCAGACAGCAGGCACCAAAAACAGGTTAGCTGGGGCCTCAGCACCTGGCATTCCTTCTCTCTACCTCCTCCCCACAGGATGAACTCCAGAGACTTCCTGCTCAGACATTCAGGTGTTCATGTACCCTCCTGCCCGGAGATCAGCCACCTTAATAACTGGCATGGCCTCAACTCAGCATTCAAGGCTTCCTCCCTTCCTACCCCTTCCACATGTGCACATGTCATCTACACAGAGCACACCCTCTGGAATTTTCTAGCCATGTCATGCCACATGCCCCCGTGCCTCTCACACTGCAGTGAGATAGTCATTCTTTCTAACCCCTCCCCCCGCACACAGTACCCACTCAGCCAGGCCACATCACATCATACACTTTACCACTCTGATTCCAACACCATCCACATTGCGCTGGTCCTCTTCCACCAAAGTCCATTTCATTTACTGAACATGCGCCTCTCACAAGGAGACATTGTTCAGAAGGAAGTGGGTGCAGGTCTTTGAGGTGGGCAGGCCCAGAAAGGGGGCAGGTCAGCACTCCCAGCACTCCCCAGCAGTAACATGGCTCCTACTCATGTGACCATGAATTAAGGCTGAGGCAGAGTCCCAGGCAGCCAGGTTGTCACACACCTACCAGTGCCGGCCCTCTGTCAGCTTTTCCCTTCGGGGGCTGAGGGAGTCTGTGTGCCCTTCCTTGCCGCCCAGACCCACTGTCATTGCAGAGGATACATCCCAGCTCCCCCAACTCCACAAGTCTACTGTGCAATGTCACGCACGTTCTGTCACTCAGATCCATCCTTAACCGGAACAGGATGAGGACAGCCGATGTTGAATGAATACACGATTGGTTTTATTACATATGTGCTGGTTCCTTTTAAGTGGTAAATTTCAGTAGAACTAAAGCTAGATGGTCTTGATTTTTTGTAACCTTTCCCTAAAGGTTATATCATTCTGGTCTGTCACAATTTGTTTTCCCAAATCTTGGGATCACAGCACTTCCACACGGATGGCCCAGAGGGTGGTGACTAAATTATGCATGATGAATTAATTCACAGTACAGGGGCTGTGACTGTGTGTATGTGACACACTCTTCTCCCCAAGGAGAGGGAGGGAAGGAGGAGTTGGCCCTGGCTGGAACTGGAGTCACATTCTTTGCCAACTTCAGCAGTGCGTCCACGCCAAGCACACCGCACACCTGAGGAGTGTGACCTGCGGGATCAGCTGGCTCCATGTTAGCTGCTCAGGGAATCTGAGCTGAAACTGCCATCAACTGTGACAAAAGATGAGAAAACAGAGCAGGCGCAGAGCTGCCATCTACAAGTGCTGGCGGTGGACACATTGCTGCGTGTGGCAGAGAGCATCACAAGCGAAGGCCCTCTAATGCTGCATGCGTGCCCTTTACTCCTCAGACCCCCACTGGAGTACCTCAGCCCCTGAGTGAATCTGACCTCTCCGTCAGCATTTGCGATTGCCTTTCTTGCTGGGAGCCATGAGATGAAGTGTCTGCCCCAGGACACCTGGAGGGGCAGCGACCAGGCTTGCACCCTGGTTTCCATACTTGAGATTCTGACGTCAGACCTGGTCCCAGAACCTGCCTTGGCTGCTAACTCTTTCATCAGGACGGCCTAAAGCTTTGGGACCCTGCACCCATGTGGGAGACCTGGAAGAGGCTCCTGGCTTCGGATAGGCATAGCATCAGCTGTTGCGCTCACTTGTGGAGTGAATCATCGGACGGAAGATCTTCCTCTCTGTCTCTCTTCTCTGTATATCCACCTTTCCAATAAAAATAATAATAATAATAATAATTATAAAAACCTTCCTTCCAGAACACATGAGAAAAGATGGTGCCAGTTCGCATCAGATACACAGGGTTCTTGTAGGTAAAAAAAAAAAGAGAGAGAGACAAAAGCTTAATTGCTTCTAATGTTTACAGAGCAGCAAGGTGTGTGGATGTATTTAGAGACACCAGCCTACCTGTGTTCTCCAGCTCCTGGCGACAGTCGCAACGTTCACGTCTCACGTGATTTCCAATAAGACAGCTCACAGTGACTTTCTTTATGGGAGCAGCACAGGAAACTAGCGTGGCCAGTGACGGGAGCTCTCGGGAGAACACAGCCCCCTCAGCTGGCATGGAGTATTGCTCCCTCGGAGCCATCTCAGGAGTGAGAATCAGGAGGCTGCAGGTCAGGAATATGCGCGAGGGGCATGTGGCACCGGCTTTTCCTCCAAAAGCCGATGCCTGGCATGAGCAAAGAGAGTACTGTGACCTCAGTCGCTGCTGGCCTCCACCAGGACTGCACACTCTAGGCAGCAGCCGACATGGCGACGGGACTGTTGGCACCCTGGCCTCCCCCTGCAGGGTGAGGGTGTGAAAGGCCTAGACCTGAGCCTCTGGCAACAAACGGTTTGGAGCCAGCATGCCCCAAGCCAGGTGGGGCTTTGTGAAAGCGTGGAGCCGTGGCATCCTCGCGGGTGACATGGCGAGGACTCCTGGCTGTGCCCGGCGGGGGCGCCCAGTCAGTGGATGTGGATGGGAACATCATACTGGACCCTGAGCGCTGGCCTGAGCAGTCCTTCCCATGGCCTGGGGCTTTCCCTGTTTGGGGCAGTGGAAAGAATGCACTCCAGGTACAGCAAGGGAACCCCCAAAATGGAGAGGGTAGCTTTGTTTAGAGGTGTACTTTTGAAAAAGCCTATTAAATATGACCTTTTCAAAATTTAATTCCCTACAATATCTACAGTGATCTGTGTGCAAACACTTTTAGACTGTAAATTCTTGCCTCCCCCTCGTCCATTAGTGAGCTACAAATTTCTATCAAAACATAGCCCCAGCTACTTCAGTCATTGCACCCAAGGCTCCATTTTTGTTTGCTTTTATTTTTTGACAGGTATTGAACTAGGATATAGGGTTGCTAGGAAAAGACCTAATTTAAGCCCAGAGGAAATAAAATAAGAGTTTATTTTAATCAAAAAAGAATTAAAACAAGGCCATATTTTCCAGTGGAAAACATGTGTCCTGTGGTGGGGTGTAATGGTATTAACTGACCAATTAAATTCCTAATGGTTATTTCACCTTTCTTTTTAAACAGTTACATTTGCCTCCTTTCATCACAATCTAGGGGGCTGGGGCGATCAGGGACGTGGCCTCCGCCAGGTCACAGGATTGCTGCGGACCCTCCTGTGTGGGGTGAGGTGGGCCCTAGCCAGGGCGCAGCAGTAGCACAGGCCAGTGCCCCAGCTCAAGGGGAGACAGATGTGTCACCAGCTAATTCCTCAGATCGGGGCAGTGATCCTGGGGTACACATTTCTTATCTTTGGGCAGAGGAATTTCTGGCTGAAGAAAAAGAGCACAGAACTCAAGAATTGTAAAAAGTGATAATTCCTGTGGCCGGCCATAACTCTTGAGTTGGAAATATATTCATAAGAACTGGAGATAGCAGCTAGGACTTTCATATCTTGTAAACATAACTTTAAATTCCATTTTACACACTTGATGTCTTCTGAAAAGAAACCATGGCATTTCAAAACTTTGTTTCTTTTGGTCCAATGCCTTAAGAAATTCTACTCAGTCTTTAATAATCTCACTGGGCAAGAGAATATTTGGAACTGAGGTTGTTTAGGTTTTCCTGCCTTTTCACTTATGATTCGATGAACAATTATGGAATGACAACGTGTTAGTTGAAGAACAATACTTTCCAGTTACCTGCGAATTCTTTTCACACACTATACATTTCCCCTTCCAAGAGTGAGCTCTCTCTGTTGACCAAAGAGCCCCTGCAGCAGCCCTCTGGAGCCAGGGTGTGTGCCAGCCGGGTGATGCCTCCCTCCCCACGTGGGGCTCCTGCCTGTGGAAGCTCCCAGGGAAGGTGCCACAGAGTGCTGCCTGCTGCAGGTTGGGATGCACCTGCTTGCTGCTCTCCGTTGACACAGCTGTCGTCCTCTGTGCCCTTGTCGGGCCTCCTCGTGCTGCTCTGCTGCTCCCAGGCCAGCATGGCTGCGAGTGCAGTGCACGGCAGGTGTCAAATGAAAGGTGTGCTCAGGAGACAGAGCAGCAAGGAGTCTGAGCTAAGAGGAGGGCATTGCTGCCACAGGTAGTTAGGGAGCACTTATTTTGGTCAGACAGCATTAGGCAGGGACCAAGATGATGATGATGATGACTGACAACATTAACCCTGCCTTCTGGGGTGTTCTGTGCCTAAAGAGATCCGAGGGTGGACAGGCAGAAGGGATTTGTACCTCCCAGCCTGCCCCGTGGACTCAGGTGCCTGTGACTTGGGTGGCTGTGGTGACTGAGGGCTTAGCTCTTCAAGTTAAAATCGCTTTCATCAATGTCTAATGGCTCTGGTTTCATAGAAATAATCACAGACTTGATTAGAATGAATATATTATTCTAGATTAATGGTTTCCATTCAAATGTTTATACTCCATCTACCCTGAACAATTAATTAATTGAGAAAAACTGGCACCTCCACAGTCTTCCCCAGAATGATGTGACATGACGAAAGAAGCCCTACAGCATTGGACGAAGGAGTTGATGACTGTGGCGGTGGTGGCGGCAGCAGTGACATGACCTTCACGGGGCTGTTCTCTTCAAGTCGCGGATCTGTTTAATCAGGTAGTTCTTCTCGTCGGTGAACTGCTCGTCGTCTGTCCTCTCCTTCTGGAAGCTGCTCAGAAACTCAATGAGTTTGGGTTGGTTTTTTAATAGAATTTCCACGATAGGCTGTGTTTTGTGAGGACTGGCCACAAACACCTGAAACAAAGAAATAAACACTCAGCCAGGAACACACCCCAGGGGCCACAGGGATCCTTCCTATATTTCCTGGATCACTTGTGTTTGTGTGTGTGTTTAAGACTTATTTATTTATTTGAAAGGCAGAGCTGCAGGAAGAGGGAGATCTTCCATCTGCTTGTTTACTCTGCAATTGGCTGCCATGGCCAGAGTTCAGCCTGGAGTTTAGAATTCAATCCAGGACTCAAATGGGAGCCCATACTGGATGTGGGTGTCGCTGGTGGAAGCTGAGCGTGCAGTGTCACAGCAAGGACTGTACCCCCACCTCGCCCCCCAGCTGCTGACAGACAGAAACCTCCAGTCATCCTTCCTCACTGAAGAAGCAGCAAGTCACCTTTCTCGCCATTCTCCTTGCTGGCTTGTGTGAGCACCTAAGTTATCTCGACCATTCCACTTTTTTTAACTTAATTTTTTTCATTTATTTTCACCTTACTTGCAAGGTAGAAAAGATTATTTCCCATCTACTGGTGCACAGCCATATGTCTCCCAGCCCACAGCCTCATCCAGTCTCCCCTGGGGGTGGCAGAAATAAATTACTTGGGCCCGGCGTGGTGGCGCAGTGGTTAAGGTCCTCACCTTGCATGCCCGGGATCCCATATGGGCGCCAGTTCTATCCCGGCAGGCCCACTTCCCATCCAGCTCCCTGCCTGTGGCCCGGGAAAGCAGTCGAGGACGGCCTAAAGCTTTGGGACCCTGCACCCACGTGGGAGACCTGGAAGAGGCTCCTGGCTTCGGATTGGCATAGTATCGGCTATTGCGCTCACTTGGGGAGTGAATCATCGGACGGAAGATCTTCCTCTCTGTCTCTCTTCTCTGTATATCTGCCTTTCCAATAAAAAAATAATAAAAATAAATCTTTAAAAAAAATAAAATAAAATAAATTACTTGAGAGGGAGTTCCCAGGTACTGGTTTACTTCCCAAAAGTGGGCAACAGCCCCTGGCTAGGGTTTAAGCTGGGTCTCCTACATGGTTGTTAGGAACCCAACTGGTTAAGCCATCACCGCTGTCTCCCAGGGTCTATACCACCAGGAAGCTGAAGTCAGGAGCCAGAGCTGGGACTCAAACACAGGACCTGGGTATACTAGCCACTAGGCTACTCGCCTACCCTGTGCTCTGCTTTACACGATTGGCAGTACAGGGCTGTTCATATCAGCATCACCAGGCCAGAGGAATTTTTTTGTCACTGTGATGATCTCAGACTACTGGCTGCATGTGGCCCGCTGCTGACCAAGACGTCAGGAAGTGGTGCCTGACGTGATGTCACACTGGGACATGGACACGATCTCCTTGACACAGCACCCAGGATAGGCAGAGCCACGGAGCCGGAAGGCAGGTTTGCTGTAGCCAAAGGCCAAGGGGCAATGATGACTAGCCCAGGACTTCTTTTAGGAAAATGCTCTGGGACTAAACAGTGGTGCTGGTTGCACAACACCGTAAAGATAGCTAATGTCACGGGGTTGTGTACTTTACAGTGGCTAAAATGGTACATTTTATGTTCTTTTTACTAGAAAAAGCTGCAGTTGTTGTTTCCCAAAAACAAGATATTTCAGGGTTGTTTACGCTGTCACCCAGAATGCCTGACATTTATATACCACCTGCTAGTAGTCAGGAAATCACTTACTGGGCCCAAAATATTTGTCTCTCTGGTTACCATTTGTTTACCAGGGGGTTGCTGTGAAGTTCTCCCTAAAAACTGCCTGGCATCCTGTGGTAGCTACATAAATAACTCAAAATTATCTTCCTTAAGAAGAAAAAAGGGATGAAATATATTGGGCAAATAAAACTTCTGTTTCAAGAATGTAGCTGGACCTGCAGACAGGCCTCTCCTTGGATCAGCTCCATGGAATCCACATGCTGCAGTATAAATGTTAAGAAGATTGCTTTCAAATTAAAAGCTGGCCTTTGTGTTAATGGTTTACAGCTCCCTAGCTATGCTGCCTCTAAAGGCAGCTGCTGATTGAGTCCAGAGGGCAACCAGGATGCCAAAGAGCTTCTCCACAGCTTGGGATGAAGTAATTTTTCCTTCTGTGTTTCCCTCTCCCCCTCCCTCCTTCCCTTCTAGATTTTCTTGTTTATGTGAAAGGCAGGGTGATACAGAGAGAACAGAGGAGACAGATATCTTCCATCTGCTAGGTCACTCCCCAAACGGCCACCATGTCTGGGATTGAGCCAGTCTGGAGTCAGGAGACAGTAATTCCATCCAGGTCTCCCATTTGGGTGGCAGGGGCCCCACGTGCCTGGGCCATTGTCTGCTCTTCTCCCAGGCGCATTAGGGAGCTGGCTCAGAAAGGGAGCAGCTGGAATCAAAGGGGTGCTCTTAAAGGGGACACAAGCAGTGCAGTCTGCAGCTCAGCCCGCTGCACCACAATACCAAATCTTCTTTCTATTACATAGATTACAAATTTCTTGGTGCTTTCTCTGTTTTCTTCAGTTTTTCAATGTTATTATTAAAGCACTCTAAAGAGAAGAAAAAAAAAAACACCTCAACTCCCTTTTTAATTTTACTAGTTAATTTTTTATTTTTCTGAAAACTAAGAGGCCTCAGAGAGATCTTGCATCCACTAGTTCACTCCCCAAACACATGGCAATGGCAAAGGTTTGGCCAGGGCTCAAGTCAGGATCTAGGAACTCAACCCAGGTCTCCCACCTGGCGGCAGCGACCCAATTACCTGAGTCACAGCCCACTGCCTTCCACAGCAGCAGGAGGCTAAAGCAGGAAGCAGAGCTGGGACTCGCCCTAGGCACTGTGATGTGGGCTGTGGGCATCCTCAGCAGCAGCTTAAAAACTGCCAGGGCCCGGCGCGGTGGCGCAAGGGGTTAAGGTCCTCACCTTGCACGCCCGGGAGCCCATATGGGCGCCGGTTCTAATCCCGGCAGCCCCGCTTCCCTTCCAGCTCCCTGCCTGTGGCCTGGGAAAGCAGTCGAGGACGGCCCAAAGCTTTGGGACCCTGCACCCGCGTGGGAGACCCAGAAGAGGCTCCTGGCTTCGGATCGGCATAGTATCGGCCCGTTGTGCTCACTTGGGGAGTGAATCATCGGACGGAAGACCTTCCTCTCTGTCTCTCCTCTCTGTATATCCGCCTTTCCAATAAAAAAAATAAATAAATAAAATAAAATAAATCTTAAAAAAAAAAACCTGTGCTAAACGCCCACACAAACTTATTTTTTTAGAATGTAGTATTCCTTAGTTTACATACCATGTCTCAGCAATGTGATTGATGGATTCTCAAGCACAGTGAGACACACAAGTATCATAACAATTCAAATGCTTTTTAGCTTAATGCAGAAATTTTTTGCTCTGAATTCTAAATTTTTAAATGATTTTTTAAAAAGTTTTTATTGCAAAGTCAGATATACAGAGAGAAGAAGAGACAGAGAGGAAGATCTTCCATCTGATGATTCACTCCCCAAGTGACTGCAATAACTGGAGCCGAGCCAATTCGAAGCCAGGAGCTTCTTCCTGGTCTCCCACTAGGGTGCAGGATCCCACCACTTTGGGTCATACTTGAATGCTTTTCCAGGTCACAAGCAGGGAGCTGGATGGGCAGCGGGCCCAATGGGATTTTAACCGTAACTTATTTGGGATTCCGGCATGTTCAAGGTGAGGATTTTAGCCGTTAGGCTGCCATGCTGGGTCCTGAATTATAAATTTTAATGATGTTTATGAAAAAACTCAGCATATGTCTAGGGGTGAGGTTTTAGCACAATCATTAATATGCCAACTGTGACACTGGCATCTGGTATCACACAATCTGGCTGGATTGAGTCCTGGCTCTGCCCCTGACCTGTTGATGAGGGTGCACAGGTAGCGGGGAAGGCAGCAGATGATGGCTCATTTAGCAGGGTCCCCGTACCACCCATATTTGAGGCCCAGAGCCAGTTCTACAGTCCTGGTTGTTGTGAGCATCCAAGGAGAGAACCAGGAGATGGGAGAGCAAGCTTGCTATCTTTCTCCCTGTTTCTTCTCTGTGCCTTTCAAATACATAAATAAAAAAATTTAAAAGGCACAGTTAAAAATAAATCACTAATGTAATCCCTCCATGAAAAGGTAGTCACTGTGAATATGTGCTGTAAGTCCTTCCATAGGTTTTTTTTTTTCTGTACATACAGTTATATGTAACTACTGCACTTGTACTACAGACATAATGGTTTGTACTCTGTTCTTTTACTTAATAATGTGGTTAAATTTTTAAAAATTCATTTGAGATGCAGACAGATACAGAGAAGGAGACTGAGGAAAGGAGAGTCTGCTGGCTTACTCCCCAAATGCTGGCCCAGGCTGGCCTGCACCTGCTTCAAGGCCTGGAAACAACTAGCACCTGCTGCCTCGCAGGGTCTACTTCAGCAGGAAGTTGCAAATAGGAGCTAGAGCCAGGAATTGAATCTAGAAACTTGGATGTGGACATTTTAATCATTAAGCCAAAACCCTTCCTCTGGAATAGTGTTTTGTTTTGCTCTGTGGTCACGGGGCTGCTAGGTAGTTCATATGTATTTGCTTCTGTAAGTCCTCAGGTGGGTTCTGGATTCCCAGAGAATGATATTGTTTGCCCCACTTGCTAGGCGAGGCTTAGGGAAGTCACACTAAGACTGCTGGCTCCCATACTGTGGAGCATGTGCTGGCAGAGCTGTGTGTGGTATTCCTGGTAGGAAATGACTTGCTGCCACCAGCCCTGCCATCTCCATTTACTCATTGGTCCAACTGTTCTTTAATGCTTGCTTATCTGAACGTGAGGAAAGGCAAGAGTAGAAACAGGTATGGGTGAAGCTGTAATTCCATACTTCCCACCTTTAAAACTTGTAAGTAAACTAATGGGTCAAAAGCTTTTCTCAGCGTTTTCACATGGCCTTTCAACACTAAAACATAACAAATAGCTGCAAACTTTCTCAGGGGGAAAGACTAAACAGTTGGAGTTTCACAGGTGGTTTTTTTGGAGGAGTGTAGCCTAGCAGTGACTTACGA